GTGCTGCTGGGGTTTCATTGAGAAAGTTCTTACCTATACCTACTAACTCCAGAGTATTTCCTACTCTTTCCTGTATCAACTTAGAGTTTGGTCTGATATTAAGATCCTTGATCCATTTTGAGTTAATCTTGGTATAGGGTGATATACATGGATCTAGTTTCAGTTTTTTGCAGACTGCTAACCAGTTTTCCCAGCAGTTTTTGTTGAAGAGGCTGCTATTTCTCCATCGAATATTTTTAGCTCCTTTGTCAAAGATAAGTTGGTTATAGTTGTGTGGCTTCATATCTGAGTCCTCTATTCTGTTCCACTGGTCTTCATGTCTGTTTTTGTGCCAGTACCATGCTGTTTTTATTGTTACTGCTTTGTAAGATAGTTTGAAGTCAGGTATCGTGATAGCTCCAGCATTGTTCTTTTGACTGAGTATTGCCTTGGCTATTCGTGGCCTCTTGTGTTTCCATATAAATTTCACAGTAGATTTTTCAATCTCTTTAATGAATGTCATTGGAATTTTGATGGGAATTGCATTAAACATGTAGATTACTTTTGGGAGTATCGACATTTTTTCTATGTTGATTCTACCAATCCATGAGCATGGGAGATCTCTCCACTTTCTATAGTCTTCCTCAATCTCTTGTTCAGAAGTGTATAGTTTTCCTTGTAGAGGTCTTTCACAGCATTTGTTAGGTTTACACCTAGGTATTTGATTTTGTTTGAGGCTATTGTAAATGGTATTGTTTTCATACATTCTTTTTCCGTTTGCTCATTGTTAGTGTATAGAAATGCTAATGATTTTTCTATGTTGATTTTATATCCTGCTACCTTGCTGTCTGCTGCTCATTTTTGTTGTTCATTTTAAAGTAAATTTCAGATATCAGTACATATTTCGTCTAAAACTCTTTAGGATGCTTGTTAACCTTTTCCCAAAACTTCCCTTCACACACCTTCCCTGTGTTCCCCATGTTACTCTCCCAGAGGCCATCAGTGTTCTAGTTTTTCTCCATTATAGGCATGATAAGTTTTTTTCTCCTAATTTAAAATTGCATGACTGTTAAATTAATTTTTGAAAGGTTAACAACTCATACATGGCACAAATTTATGAGATACAAAATTTTACAGAAAAAAAATCTTTCCTATTCTTCTGACCCTTGCTTCCCACTGCCTGTCTCTCCATGGCATCCATGGTTGGCAGTTTCTTACTGTTTTTCTAGAAGTGGTTAATGCATGCAGACACATACATCTCCTGACCTCATGAACTAGTAGCTTGCCTCCCATGTTTCATGAAATGCTTCTGGCATTAGGTCTTGGAGACCATTCCTGCTTAGCAGAGAGATCTGTGCTGTCTACAGCCATACCACCCTGAATGTGTCTGACCTTGTCTGATCTCAGAAGTGAAGCAGGGTCGGGCCTGGTTAGTGCTTGGATGGCAGGGGAGCGATGCTGTTCTGTTACTAGTTGTACAGTGGAGCTCTGGTGTGCTGCATTTTAGTACATGACCTGTATGGGCTGTTATCATCTTTTTTTTTTTTTGACAGTGCTGTGGTTTGAACTCAGTCTAAGTGCTCTACCACTTGAGCCGGCCCCCCAGTCCCTGCTGTGTTGTACTTTATATAACCATTTTGCTACTTCTTTCTAGCTTTTCTTTCCTAAGTGGTCGTACATATGTTGTCCAAGCGTAGTTAATTGGAAAGAAACTAGATGTGCATTCTTAGTCAATTACATCATTTTATTACGTTCCTTCCCTATCTTCCCTTCCTTCCTCTCCAACCATCCATTCATCCATCTGTCCACTTAGACGTCTGCTCATCTGTCCATCCAGTGGGAATGTTCACTGAGCAGTCATTGTGCCCAATACTGCCTTGGGCTGTGACTGTGGTCCCTGTGACCCTCATAATCTTCTGGGAAAAATATGCATATCACAACTGAATTCTCAGAAGTCTTTTAGTCTGTGCAAGGTTTCAGGCTGCACAGAGGATAAAAGAGAACTCTTTAAGGGTATTTGCCAGTTTTTTACTCTCAGCAGTGAGTCCTTGACCTTGACTATTTTTAAAACCACATGGATTGGAAGCCTCTAATTAGATATTTGTAAAACAAATAAACAATCACAGAACCCTGAAGGTGGGCCAGACCTAGCTCAGTGCCTCCTGGCTCAAGGATAGTGTAGGATGACTTCATGATCAGATCAGCACTGGATCTTTTCCCTCCCCTGGTTTGGCCACCTTAGATGGAAGACATTGCTATACCTCTCCACTCTGTTCAAAATGAGAACAAAAAGCAGGAGTGTTGTTGGCAAGGAAAATAG